TTTTTTTTTTTTTTTTTTTTTTTTCCCTTTTCATTGTCAATGTTTAGGTGATTGGTTTTTTGTTGGATGGTTAAGACTGGAGATTCTTGGCCTCAGCCTGGGCATGCTGCTGGGAACCCGCCCGATTTAAATTGCATGAATGAATTGTTAAATTTCAGGCTGCCATTTCTGAACCCAGATACTTATATCTCTTCTGCACAAGCAAAATTTCGAGGATCTTCTAATCCTCCACATGTTGGTTTGAATTCGGAACAGAAGAATGTGTTGCTTCATAGCTTTCCATCTTATCTCGGGACCGTGTGTCCCCATGTACTTCCATACCTTGTGGAAAAACACTGCAATTCTTCTTTGGGACACGCTCGAATGACTTTACATGGCTCAAATACCGAGTTTTCTAAAAAGGAATACATTATTTTTGATCAGTCTGCAAATCAAACAAGTGTAATGTATAGTTCTGGTTGTGCTCAGATCCCCATCTCCATTAGTGCAAAACATTGCAGTCATGGCTTAAATGATGATGAAGAAGAAGCTGCTGGGGATATTGATTTTAAAAATTATTTGTTTCACAAATGTCCATTGAATAATGGACTTGCTGGTGAGGAAAGCGAGATGCATGAAGACACAGAAGAAATAAACGCCTTGCTTTATTCAGATGATGACAACCACTATAGCAGTGATGATGAAGTAACTAGCACTGGTCATTCCCCACCGCTGATTAAGGAACTTTATGATAAACAAACTGAGGAAATGAATGAGGAAGTTGCTAGCTCTGATGGCCCCAGAAAAAGGCAGAGATTGCTAGATGGTGGGCACAAGAAATTGTCAGATGCCCCTGTTTCAGTGAAAGTAGATGCATTTAACAACTACGGAGTTGATACGAAATCAAGCTACACTGGTGGCGATAGCCGAGGACATCAAATGGATTCCGTTTCGGGCAATTTTTCATCGAAAAAAGCCAAGTTAAGAGAGACTTTGAAACTTCTTGAAAGCATGGTTCCTGGTGCCGAGGGCAAGCACCCGATGTCGATCATTGATGACACTATAGACTACTTGAAGTCTCTAAAGTTTAAAGCAAAAAGCTGTGGGGCTGGCTGTCACGCCCCGCTGTGATGTCGGTCAAGGATGCCAGGATGGAGAAAAAAGTGGTGACCAAACTTTTCTTTTCCAGAATGATTGTTTAATTTGAACATCAATGTGGTGCCTTGGCTTGCTTTTATGGGACCCCATGGACATGAAGGACTGTACATAATGGGCTACTAAAGGAATTTAAGTAATATGCAGATACTGCTCTTTGCTCGTTGCCATTGAAGACAAAATGGGTAATGTTGACCAGAAATGATTGTCTATTTGCTTTTGGAGCATTAAAGATTAAAGGAATCACTCAGATTCGACAACTTAGGAGGTAAAAGTGGAGGTATTTGTTGTGTTCTCGAGGGACCCCATGAATTTAGTGCATGCGCATTTGGTAAGTTATGCCCCACCCTCCACTTATCTCCATCTCCCCCTTCTCTATATGGTGCTTTGCCTTCTCTTTACCCTTCATGGATAGAAAAAAAGAAAGAAAAATTGCAGATAATGAAAGTATTGGAAAAGTGATCCAAGTGCAAGGAATTGTGAGAGTGTAGTATTGTGTTTCATAATGATATGGTGGATGCTGAGCTGGAAATGCCCTTTAATCAATAATGTCGTAAAGGTAAGCTTGTTTTTTTCTTGCAATGTGGGAAGTGATTGCTTTTTTTTCAGAAAGTTGTGAAGGTGTGGCGTTGGTGCTCTGCTGCTGCTCGTGGGAACTTTCACTGAGGTTGGCTTTTAGTTCTTTTTAGATTTGTTGTTTCTGATGTAGTCGGTCCCCTGTCGGTTTGTCAGTTTGAGTTTGAATATGATGAATAATTGGTGGATGAATGTGATTTTCTTCTGCATTATTGTTTTTGATTCTCCAACTTGTTAGCTGTTTTTTTTTTCTCATTTCACGAGTTTTCTGTATATTTTGTCGTTTTAATCTCTCTGATTGGTTTGCTGATTCTCTCCACTTCTCTGGAATAATGAAATTTGCATCTTGATGAAACTATAGCATTGTTTCTTGTGGGGTTTCTGGATTTTCTTTTGAATGAAAACAAGCTTGTGGTTAATTGTGGATGCCATAGCCGAATGAAAACGTGAGATTCCACATCGGTTGGAGAGGGGAACGAAACATTCTTTACGAGAGTATGGAAACCTCTCCCTTATAGACGCGTTTTAAAACCGTGAGGTTGACGGTGATACGTAAGGGGCCAAAGTGGAGAATATCTACTCGTGGTAGGTTTGGGTTGTTACAAATGTATTAGAGTCATGCAACGAGGGGTATGGTAGCGAGGATGTTGGAACCTTGGTGAGATCTCACATCGGTTGGAGAGGGGAACGAAACATTTCTTATAAGAATGTGGAAACCTCTCCCTAATAGACGCGTTTTAAAACCGTGAAGCTGATGGTGATATGTAACGAGTCAAAGCGGACAATATCTACTAGCGGTAGGTCTGGGCGGATATAAAAAAATCTATAGCATTGTTTCTTGATCAAAAGTTAGAAAGTAGAAAGCAGAGAGAACATTATTTAACATTGTCTTTTTAAGTGTTAATCTATGAATGAATTGTATGGCACTCACCATTTGGCTAGATTAGGACTAGGGTTGGAGGAGGATGCTCATCTTTTAGTTAGTGTTATGTCAATCCTTGACGCCTGCACCGGGCCATGAGTTAAATATCGTGGGGTGGGCGGTCAAACCCTTATCTTTTGATTCATGATATATTCTTTAATCGGTTGAATTATGCTTAGGTTGACAATACTATAAAAATTTATTGACAAATGTTATTTGTCTTCCTTCAGTCAAATGATAAGACTCTCTTTGGTTGGATCATGCTGCACGTCTCTAATTTTATTTGATAGTAAAACAGAAAGTCTCTTAGCTGATGCAATAAGTCCTTTAATTGACAAGAATGAATCACAATATGATAAACATTGATGTGTACCACAATTTCATAGGGACTACACGATGCTTCACTTGCTTTGTCGAGTATCATTTTCAAGACTCGTATCTCTGTTTTCTCTCTTAGACGAGTATTAGGACTCGACAATAGATTTTGCTTTCACACTATAGGGGTTACTAGACCATGAATTATTTGCAGAAAAAGGCTTCACGTATTGTTTGATAAATTTATGAGGTGCAAACTTTGTTTTAATCTTCTCAAGGCCAAGAATTTTTTTGTTAATGAACTATGGAAAAAGGCTTCATTAATTTGAATCCCTAGAAATCATTGCATTACTTTTTCGATATTTGTCAATATTCTTGCTTTGAACGTATTGAATCATTCAGATGACATTTGTCAATATTCTTGCTTTGAACGTATTGAATCATTGAGATGATCGTCTTTATGGAGATTGTGCGATATCGTTACTTTTGAATGTTTTGTAGTTGGAAATGAGAATTACTTTATGATAAAAGGAACGGAAATAGTGAGACTACTTTTGAGAAAGGATCATCCAACTTTTGATATTTTCTTCCATACTAACGTTGAATCATCGGCTAATATCATAAATAGTGACAGTAAAAGGATTAGTTTATTAAACAAATTTATAGGACAAAAAAAGTTTTTTATATGGTACCCTTTCTCCCGGTGGTATTCCACTCCTTGCCTTCTTTTGGTTCAACGATGAAATTTTTAATGATAGAAGAAGGGCATGGACAATAAAAAGATATAGAAGCACCCTCGTAAGTATATAATTTTTAATAAAAATGTCGATTATTTTAGTTGTAATTTAACATTATCTATTGTTAATTATTTTAAATGATGTGATCTAAATTGTTTGTGTAAACATATGAGTCGAGGTATCTTATAGAATGAGTGGGTATAAGACTAGACGGAAAAAATTGTTAATCTCTATTTGTAAATTTGTTAATTTATAAGATTGATATTTCATAGGATGATCACATGCACCTCTATCTTAATACTAGGTGATTGATATTTCAAGTAAGATTTCTCTTTTGATTTTCATAGCTGATTTAACCGAACTTGACATTTTAGAGACCGAGTCAAATATAAAATTTGTGTTAGGGAGTTATCCAAAAAGATATTGTGGAAAAGTTTCATAGGGTTGGAACACATCCAACAGATTTTTCGACTACTATTTCTACCCACATAAGATTTGTGCTTATTAATAAAATCAAACTAAGATCTAATGCTTCCATTGCGTGAACGAATAGTTTATCTATGCCACTACTCTTCCTCTCTTTAATTGTCAGATTCAGATTCCTCGTTTTGCATGCAAATCTCGCCAGAGAAGATGATGTACCCTTCACGCGAAGGAGACCATCAGTTCAATGTGTCTCTAACTAATTCAAGTGATTTCAGACATGATTCAATCTGGGTTCGTTTTATCGGTTGATGTTTCACCGCTGGTCCAGCTCAATCTAGATTAGTCCAATCCATCATCCCTAAATCCTAAACCCGAAACCCAAAACCCAAAACCCTATGGTACCCTCATTATCTAAATTGGATACACTGTGACCATCCAGTTTGTCTCCAACTTGCCCACTCCAATTCAGAGGGTTTTCTTTTCCCTTTAATATTAGTGGAATTTGACATTGGGTTGGTGATCCATTGTTTTTTTCCTCCCTAACAAACGCATAGTGTTTGGTTTTTGGTTTTGAACTTGGCTTGCCATTGAAGTGTGCGTGGTTGGATTTTGTTCAGTAATGGTCCACGCTCACCCCTCATAGATATTATCTGCTTTGACCCATTATGTATCTTCGTCAGTCTCACGATTTTAAAACGCGTCTAATAAAAAGAGGTTTACGTATAAGAATGATTCGTTCCCCTCCCCAACCGAAGTGGAATCTCACATGTTCATTTGAAGGTACATATAGATATAGCTAAAGCATTTGGTTAATATCAATATTTTTAAAATGTTTTTATTTAGTGGGAGGCAAGATTGTTGCTGGGTACTCAAGGGAGTGATTCAAAGCCAAATCAACGTTGTAGGACTTGAAGTTCGACAAAGATATAATGTCGTGATGCCATCATTTTGATGAAAAGAAAGACGCTACCATTTCGATATATGACACTCTGAGCAAAAGATATATACATGAATGAAATAAGATCACATTTGGATGAGATCGATTATGAGGATAGAATAGTTATACCAATAAATTACATCGAAAGATACACTCATTTGCTATAAACTCTGGACTACGTCCAATATTTTCCAATTTAGTGTTATTGTTACATGCATCGATTCAACATCGGCCGAATATGGTTGAGGGTTAATATGATGATGATGATGATTTGTTGTTTGAAACGAATAAAGGTGTTTCGGTGGATGATAATCTAGAATTACGAAGTTTCATTAATATATTCCAGTTTCCTCGAAGTTTTTTAAATTATTATATATGATTGTGGACTGTAGTCGCTAAATATTTATAATTATTTAAATTCTAAAAATTTTCTTTATTTAAAAGTCTATTACCATAAATTAAATACGTGATAATCTCGTACTCTACTTTCCTCTCTCTATCAATCGAGATACTCCTTATCTTCGATAAAGCTACTTCATTCCTTCCCACAGCTTCACTTGAGAATCTTATATCTCTAGACTTTAAAAGACTTGTCGTCCCAGTAGACAGGATTTGTGAAATCCAATCATCGTAATTTCAAGTTTAGGTATCGTACCGTAGCCAAACCGAAAAAGAAAGGGACACTGAATGTCCTGCCATGGAGCTAAGGCTGCTTGCTCACTCAACCACTTATTAGGTAATTATCGAACAGACATAACACAAAGGTACAAATTAGAGATCGCTAATTTCATACGCTACATAAATGTAATATATTAAATGACTACGCCAATAAGATTGATGAGCTAGAAAAAACATAATCTTAAATCTATGTTTTAGAAGAGTTCAATTTGGAACCATTGGAATGTATTTTGTACAAACATCCAATGTAAGAACTTCACGAAAAAGAAAAAAAAAAAAATGTTTCCAACATCGTATATATCATTAATCTTTTCAAATCGTGTGTGTTTTCTCAGCTTCCTGAGAGTTTCTTTAGACATATTTCCATCTTCAGAGACCAAAAACCAAACAAGAACAAGAAACAGAGTTCAACTACTACTCTGTGTCGAATTTCTCATCACAAATTCGCCACTGCAAGAAACTGACCTGTTCATAGCAGCTGAAGAATTCACTCTCTCTTGGCATGATTTCTTCTTCAAATCATTCCCATTTCTCATACCAATTTCAGCAAGATCAGAGATGATTCGAAGAGCTGATAATGAATCTAAAGAAACTGATCTTCTCACTGCCTGAATTTCATCTTGTTCTTGTTGTTCTTCGTTTCTTAGAGAAGATTCGCCGGAATTGGATCCATTTCCCACTTCCATCTGTAAATCCCTCATCTGGGTTTCTTCAGATGTGACCAGAGGAGGCGGAGGCGGCGGCGGCGGTGGGGTCACGGCAGTGGATTGAGCTACCACTGGAGCGCGGCACATGGGGCAGTTCGTGTGGGATTGAAGCCAAGTGTCGATACAGGGGAGATGAAAAGCGTGGCTACACTTGGGCAAAAGTCTAAGAGTCTCATCCTCTTCAAATTCGCTTAAACAAACAGAGCACTCTGTTCCGTCGATCAAACCCTCGCCGGTTTTGAATTTGCAGATAGCGATGGCGTTGATGACAGCCGGTGGGAGGCCGATGGTGCGGATATACCAGATGGGGTGATCCAAAACAGGGCCATGTTCTTCATCGAGAAACTCCTCCTGGTGGGTGGTGGGCGGTGGGGGGTCAGGGCGTTGGCGGCGTCTGCGGCGGCCGGAGTAGAAACGGACGTAGACGGTGTAACAGAGGACGAGGAGAAAGGTGAAAGAGAGAAGGGCGATGGTGGCTGTGACCCAATTGGGGAGTTTGTGAGGCGATTTGTCGTAATAGGGCGGCGGGATTGAAATCGGGCCACGGGAACAAAGATTTGGGCATTTTTCGAGGCAATCGGAAGGGCAATTATCGGGAGAGTTATTGGGGCAGGTTTTAAGGCAGAGTTCCTTGAAGTCGTCGTCGTCGTCGTCGTCGGGGAGGAGCTTTCGGGAGAGGAAATCCATGGCGGATTTGAGGAGGAGAGAGAGAGAAGGCGTTGAAATTGGAAAATCCGGCGGCCAAGGAGAGAGAGTGGTTTAAAGGAGTATGTTACCACCGCAAGGTTTGAATGTTATTGTAATGGCGATTGGTGATTTTTCTTTGTCGTGACTGTTGACTTTATTGGATGGAAATGGACAAAGTCGAGCTTTGTTGTTAATGTACTTGGGCCCCAAGGAGCCCACTCAATATCATGAAAGGTACAAATTGTGGGGAAAGTTCTATGAAGTCTCGTTATAAACCCTCGACACTAACCTCGAAATGAGTGGACATAAATCGGTATGCCAACGAGAACACTGAGTCTTTAAGAGTTGAATACTAGGTGGTGTGCCAACAATAATGTTGAGCTCTAAAGGGGGTAGACACTAGACGGTATGTCAACGAGAATGTTGGATCACAGAGGAGGGTGAATTGTGAGATCCTACATCAATTAAAGAGAGAAACAAGTGTTAGTGAGAACGTTGGGCTTCAAAAGGGGTGAATTATGAGATCTCACATCGGTTGGAGATGAGAACGAAACATTTTTATGAAGAGTGTGGAAACCTCTTTTTAGCATACGTGTTTTAAAAATCTTGAACTTGGATTGTTACACTATATAATGAAACTTGCATTGGTTACATTATCGATGGTAATTCAAAATGTCGGGAAGTGATCACGGCTTCCGACTTTCCGTTATGAATACTCTACCGTGATCAAAACATTAATTAATTAATGAATCTAGCTGCAACCAATCCAGCCGCCAATGCAAGTCCAAATATGGAATGTAACCGCACACACAAATACTTGGCCATGAAAATTTTCTGTTTATCCTGCAAATTAAGGAAAAATATAAAAAAGCTAAATAATAATAATAATAAATGAAAAATATTTTCCTACAAATTTCTCATTTTTATTAACATATAACCCATTAACATTTTATAATCGTCAATACTTTTTAATCTATGAGTATCCAGGTAAGCTTCTAGAGGCGTTTAAAAATCTATGAGTATCCAGGTAAGCTTCTAGAGGCGTTCGTGGGTTAGGTTGAATTGAGTTGACACATTACTTAGACCCAACTCAACGCAAAGATCGATTGACCCATATGAATCTCGAGAGTAGGTGGTTGACTGCCGCCCCTTGTCTGGGAGGCTCTTCGGCTAGGGAGTCGCTATCTATCCTAACCTTTTTCTCATGGTAGTGAAAAAGAATGGCTTGCCCTTTTTTGTTTGATCAAAAATTGGCCCAAAGAACAAGAGTAGATTTCCTTAGGTCAATAGTAGAGAAACCCATGAACGGACTCCAACCCATAAAGCTTTAATTTTGAACTCAACCCAATCTAAATGAATTCATCGTGATTGAATTTTTTAGGTCATCGGTTGAATCACTAATTGACCTGAAGATTTAACGTATGATTTTTAAAGTAAATTGTTAGCCAATCACCTTGTGGTTTTCTTCAACGAAGCTAACCACCAGCTTGCCCACCGGGATCGTCAGACCACAAAAGAACTACAAAAGAAAACAATAGCATAAATGAAAGATAACGTAAAGTTATTCCGTTCACAAAGTAAGTCGAGTTTTCAGAATTAACTTACAATGCAAGTAAATGGAAGACTCTGGCTTAAACCCAGAGCAAATAGAAGCACAAAAAGCATAATTACTGCAGCCTTCACCACCTTGGAACCTCTTTCTGTGCCAAGCCTTACCTGCATAATAAGTTATCCAACACAGACAGATACAACATTAATTTCTCCAAATGTTTTTGACAAGCTGAAGCTGAGCAAAGACATGTTATACCAAAGGGGACATTTTTCCAACAGCCCTGTCTCCCTCAACCTATGCACAACAATGTCGGTGTTGGTCAAACATGATCGTTAATGTAAGACAGCAGAAGAGTTAAGGATACATGTTTTTTGTTTTGTTTTTGTCTCGACGAGGGGGGAAAGTACCTGATGGAAATGGCTGCAGAAGAGAATTAGAGTCGTCGTCGTTCCGACAAGGATAGAGGCGGAAAGGATCGTATTGGTTATGGGAAGATATCTCATCTCCCTGTGGTTCAGACAGACAGTCAATATAGAAAAAAACCAGACAACAACTGCTAATCCAAACCAAATGATTGTAACCTTGCGTTGCTCTGTAATAAGTAAAATGCTGTTGTAGCAAATGGACCGAAAGCAGCAAAGCACAACGGCTCTCCCAATCCTTGGTAGCTTAACCGGAACGGTGGACACTGCAACCGAGTCAATTATCAAAGCTAAAGAATAAATAGCTTGTTATAGTGTGCGTGTACAGAATAAATAGGTGGGTCTGGTTAGGAATCACGAATATCTAAAATGGTATGATATTGTCCACTTTGAACGTAAGCTCAAAGGCCTTGTATCTATGGACATGTACTCCTTACCTATAAATCTATGATCAACCCCTTAATTAGTCGATGTGGGACACCTCTCCCAACAATCCTCAACAATTCTCCCCTCAAACAAAGTACACCATAGAGCCTCTCCGGAGGCCAATGGAGCCTTCGAACAGCCTCCCCTTAATCGAGGCTCGACTCCTCTTTTGGAGCCCTCGAACAAAGTACACCATTTGTTCAACACTTAAGTCATTTTTTACTACACCTTCGAGACTCACAACTTCTTCGTTCGACATTTGAGGATTCAATTGACATGACTCTAATACCATGTTAGAAATCACGACCCTCCACAATGGTATGATATTGTCCACTTTGAGCATAAGCTCTCATGGCTTTGCTTTTGGTTCCCCAGAACGTCTCATACCAATGAAGATGTATTCCTTACTTATAAACCCATGATCAACCCCATAATTAGCCGGTGTGAGAATCCTCTCCGAATAATCCTAACACTGTCAACAGCTCAATCAATTACTTCTTTCAAATGCTAAAAGAAGGATTAGTGGCGTCTCGATTATTTCATTTAAGATTCATTGGAATCAACATGAATTATGAAGCAAAGAAATTGACTTGGGGCCAAGAGTATGAAGAAGACCAAAAATTAAAGATCCCAGGTGTTACCTGATATATGTAGCCACAAATAATTGAAAAGGCTAGAAATAATATGGCACGCAGGCTCCCAGCCTCCAGAGATGCCCATGTCAACCCCAAGAAGCCAATAGCAAGAAAAGTGTAAGCAGCAACAAGCGTCCCTATAGGGCTTATTGCACCACAATAACACAAACAAGTCGATAAGTTCTATAAGGACAAAAATTACGAAATTCGAGGGGTCCTTAGACGAGAAAGTAGTGTGAACTTTACCTGCCAACAAGTTTTACAACCGACTCCTTTTTGTTTTTATCAGCTCCGGTACTGAAGTCGTACGCGTCATTACTGCAAATGGAGCGGTTTAATTCGTTAACTTCAAATGGGGGAAGGAGCTCATAGTTCATACTTTGTCCTGAACCCGTGTTAGAAATGAGCAAGCAAAGGCTTCCATGGACAATAGGGGAGTTCTACAACTAAAAGCACCTTCCTCAAAATGGTAGACCTCGAAGGAGGGCAACGAATCTCTAGACTAGGCAAGATGGCAATAGATAGAGTTTATGTAACAACTCAAGTCTACCGCTAGCAAATAAAAGAAAGATATTTTAGTAAAACCCATTCCCGCTTGGTAAGAAGATAGCTTACAGTCCTATCGGAGTGCAAGAGAATTTCCTAAGAGACCCAGAATTGACGGAAGGAAGCAAACATTTGACTTTCGTGCCCACGTATCAAAGCTAGCAGAAAAAAAATGCCTTTATCGATAGGATTCATCTTTCCCGTTCTTTTGTTCAAAGGGATGCCCTCTTTGGGCTTTCCCTTGCAAGTCTCCCCTTAATGTTTTTAAAACGCGTCTACTAGGGAATAGACTAGTAGATATTGTCCTCTTTGGGCTTTCCCTTTCGAGTCTCCCCTCAAGGTTTTTAAAACGCGTCTGCTAGGGAGAGATTTCCACACCCTTATAAAGAATGTTTCATTCTCTCACAATCCACCCCCCTTCGGGACTCGACGTCCTTGCTTGCCCTTGTTCCTCTCTCCATTCAATGTGGGATCTCACAATCCACCCCTTTTGGGGCCCAACGTCCTCACTAGCACACCACCCGGTGTCTAGCTCTGATACCATTTGTAACAGCTTAAGTCCACCGCGAGCAGATATTGTCCTCTTTGGGCTTTCCCTCAAGGTTTTTAAAACACGTCAGCTAGAGAGAGGTTTCCACACCCTTAAAAAGAATACTTCACTTTCCTCCCCAACCGATATGAGATCTCACAATTTACCATGAAACAAACGTCTATGCAACCATTAAGCTATCAAAGATCAGGTTGAGTGTAAAAACAAACAGATGTAAGTCATACAAGAACTAGTTCTTCACCTTAAGTTAAGCCAACTGATGACAAGAACCGAAGAAGCCAGGATTACAAAAAAAAGCCGAGTGGAAAAATTCCCAGACTCAAAATAAGCAGCTGCACTTCCTACCTGTTTGTAATCAAAGAGAAAAATCTTAATACATAGCATCTTCAGAAATGGAATAGAACACACTCAAAGATCAAGAACAATCAAGTTCATCACAATTGATGCAACACATTTCTCAAAAGATTGATATCAAATCTTGCACAACTTGCTACCATAGAATGCAACGAGTATATGCATACCATTAAAGGAATCAACGCAACAGAGTAAATTGGTAGCTTAATAGCCCTCCAAATCAGAGTCCCCATGGCCAAGCCCTCTTCTCCATTCTCTTGGGGCATCGAATTAAACTCAATTGCTTTACATTTCGACACAAAACCTCTAAAACGGACCTTTCCGCACACACCCAATTGCTTTCCACGACTCCCGCGGGCAAATTTCCGAGCATCGGTTGATAAACTGGACAACCTGAAACAACCCAGATAAGAGCTGTGATAGCAGAAGAAAATAGTACCAATTTGAAGATGGGCAAGAACGTCTAGTGGCTATTTGCAGTGTCGGGAGCTTGCCTTGGAGTGAGGGTGCTGCGGTGGGAGAGATAGTCATCGAGATTCTTCTTTAGGGCGCCGAGATGGGTGGCTATGCAGAGCGTGGAGGCCATTGGCATCTCATAACGGAAGGCGAAATGCGAGTGAATCGGTTCCCGGAGCAGCCCGTTTCTGCGAGGTGCGCGCGCTTTGTAGTGTAGGGACAGAGGATGAGATTATGTGGGGAATGTTTTGAGTGATCTTATCATCTTCAACTCTAATTAACCGTCTCTCGAGTGTTCTATTTTTTTTAG